GCTTTGAACCATTGGCCTTGCGAAGAAACGTTTCACCCATGTGCATTTTCAATCGCATATAAAACGAGAAATGCTCAGAGGAATTTTTCGTATTAATTCCGGCTCCTGAATTCCACCATCTTACACTGCGATATAACTCTTAATTCCATCATCTTAATGTTTGGCGGTCCACTAACGTGCATTTTACATGGAATGTTCTGTCACACACACCACACTATGAAATTTACGATTAAAGGACCTTCAAATAAAGATCCTACTTCTTTCTAAAAAGCGCATGCAATTCCGTAAGAAGAGCCGTATACTCGTTTCCTCCTCTTTCATAAAAAAATGATTTCATGTGTGTTTCAGGTTGTTAAATGTAAGAAACTAAAATTAAATAACGCCCAATCCTAACACGCTTGTTAAACTTATTCATACTGACAAACACTGTGCTGTGAATTATTTGATGTAGTAAAATATTTTTTACTAATTATTATTGACCCAACTCATAAAATTGACGTCAATTTAAAAAATGCTTAAAAGTTGATCTCTCTCTTCTCATTAAATAACAATAGAAAGAGATAGAAACAGAGATATAAGTGGTAGCCAAAAATTATAAGTAAAGCCGTATATAAATTACATTTTTACACAACGTAAAATGTGAACTAAAAGACTTGTAAACATGTCATAACTTTGTATAATGGAATATCTTTTAAAAATTAACATAACAAACTTTGAGAACCGGAGACCCTTTTTACTGGAAAAGAGGCATTCCATCTTAGTTCTCACGAGTGACAACGCATCTGCGTTTTGATTCGCAAACGAAGATAAATGTAGATGTTCATGGGCCACAGCAACCACTTACCATCAGGTGGACTGTGTGCTCGTTTGTAACTCGATCCTATAAAAAAAAAATATTAAGACCGATTACGGGAAGCAGTATCTGATGTTGGTCGAGAGTGTGGTCGTTACCGCAGCACAGCAATATGAAACAACGTCAAATTAAAAGATAGAGTAAGCTTAATGTGAACCTTGCTTCAATGTGAACTCGTTTAAAACTTTATTACTTCTCCCTTTCTCCGAGAATACTTTCACTTGATTTATACCAACTGTAAATTCCTTTGTTTATATTTGTGTTAATTTCCTTGGCGTCATTAAGTTCTCTGAAGGAATATTTTATTACATTTAAGCAAAATCCTTTTGTAATTTTAACCATGTACAATATAGTTATATGAAAGTGATTTATAATTGTCTAACTAAGAATAGATATATTCCTACCTAGATACGAGCAAGATCTAGTAATATAACTATCTTACTAGACTAATATATTGAAATTATTATAATTTTAAACTGAATGTACAAGAGTACACTCGTGCTACTCATGTAAACGAAATGTCCATGCTATTTGTGAAATATTGTCATGTGTTGAAGGTTATGGATCGCAACAGTTGTGAAATTTAAGCAACAACGAAAAAACATTCTGTAGACAATTTAAAAAGAGCCGCTGAAAAAATGAAAAAAAAATGTCCTCCGACCTTTCGCAACATTGCCATTGTATCTTCAGTTCCTGTTGTGTTGTTATTCTTGTTACTTTTTTGACAGTAGATTAAGGTGCGGCTGGGGTGACCCTTGTTACACCCTAATTCGTATGCATTATAGTTAAATAGAATATAATATTGAAGAAATAGATCTTTTTAATAAAAAAAATCTACCGCTATAGGTCAAAAGTAGTTAAAATGCTTACTACATATTTTTTTTTCAAAACTACATTAAATTCTATTATAAAGGAGGCGAGCTACATATTGATCCATTATACAAGTTTCCCGCGGCTCTACCCACATGGAAAATGAAGCGCTTTTACGTTTATTTTACTGTATTTACTTTTATTTTTCTGTATTTACTTTTATTTTCCTATACACATTATAATTAAAAGTTTAAATTGAGGCTACGCTGGATATAGTTTTTTTTTTAATAGGAGAGGGGACAAACGAGCTCACCTAAGTAAGGTAAATACGGTAAGTGACTACCGCCGCCCATGAACAACTGCAACACCAGGGGAATTGCAGATGTATTGCCGGCCTTTTAAAAAGGAGTAGGTACTTTCCTTGAAGGTCCCTAAGTCGTATCGGTCCGGAAAATCGCTGGTGGTAATCAATTCCACAAGGAAGTTGTGTGAGGGAGAAAACTTCTACTATATCGCACAGTGGTGGACCGCCAATTATCCAGATGGTATGGATGGTATCGCGAGTTTTGTCGCGCTGTGCGATGGTGAAATTGAGCGGCTGGAATTAGTCCGAACAATTCCTCAGAGCACTCTCCGTGATAGATGCGATAAAATACGCAAAGAGATGCAACATCTCTACGCATTGCCAGTGAGTCAAGCCGATCGGAAAGAACTCGGTCGTCGACGATTCGAACCGCTCTGCGCTGGATGCGGTCAAGTGGAAGGAGCTGACACTGGGGAGCCCCTGCCCAGGGATGGGATCAGTATTCCATGTGAGGCCGAACCTGCGCCTTGTAAAGTTGCAAGTGGTGTGCCGGCATGAAATACTGTCCCGCTCTGCTGAGCACGCCAAGCTTTTTAGAGGCCAATTTGGCCTTCTCTTCCAAGTGACCACGAAACTGCACGTCACTCGATATGTCGACACCGAGGATTCCGATACTGGCTGAGGTAACAAGAGGAGTGTCTTGAAACTGAGGATATACGACAAAGGGGTTCTTTTTAGCGGTAAACGCGCAAACTTGTGTCTTTTAGGGTTGAACTGGACTAGATTTAGTCGACCCCAATCCGAGACTTTGTTAAGCAAAGTCTCGACTTCAGATACAAGTTTGTTCCGGTATTCGGCGACGTTTTCCCGAGATATATTGGCACGGCCGGTGTATAAAGCATCACCAGTGCTGTCGTCCGCATAGCAGTACTGAACTATATTCAATAGGGAAACCTTTTAGAACAAACATTTGTAACAAAATGCGATAACCTGGCATTTATGCGATTGTTTCAGATATTATTTCTCATACAAATTTTTGCGGTCTTACTTTTACATGTTTCTGTTTTCTCTTTAATATAAACGGAGAAAACGAAAACATATAATTATCTACACGATTGTAGAAAGCGAGTGGCATGCGTACATCGTTGAGACCTCATATTACTTGAATGCGACAAAAATTTTCTTCTTAAAATATTAAAATATCCTTCACTTTGTAAAAAAGAAAAGATATTTTTGTTTGCCTTTACACGGTTATACACAGAAATATTCCCGGGTACCAAAATGGTTGATATAAAATGTATCTCACCGTAACAACATCATGTATTTTGAGACGGAGCGTGATTGATGTACGTGATCTCTCTTATTTAAGACCAAACATAAGGCGTATACAAAATTGTAGCATTTATATGAATTCTTAAACATTATATAGCCTGCATAGATTAAGGTGTCCCCATGCTATTATATGATGTGTTAGGGACTTACTCAATAAATAATTAACGCGTAAAACACTAATTATGCGAAGTTTTCCGTTTTTATCTTCCCGTGGGAGTCGTAAGAGGCCACAGAAGGAAACAAATCAGGAAATGGACAGTAGCGTCTTTCTGATAACAACTAAAAAATAAAAAATTGTAATTGCACCTACCCATCTGTCAAGCGTGGCAACTGTGGCAAAAATCTCCTTGGAGGCAATCTATGAGGGAGACCTATTCTTAATCAGCAGTGGACTTTTAATAGACTGTAATGATAAGAGAATTAAGGATAACAATTAAACACACAATTCGTCATTCACACAAGGGAATGCGTCCATAGCATTCGCTTACCATAGGCATATCTATGAGTATCCTCGATAGTTAGTCAAAAAGTAGATGCGTTGTCACATTCCTTACCAGTAAAAAAGGTCCCCGCCCCGGACTTCGTCACTCATCCTAAGAAGAAAAACAATATTATTTTACGCTGGTAATCTATCTGTTAGAATGTAGTTCTTCCCTGCCGCATTCGTGCAGTCTTATTACAGTTTCAAAGTAGCTCTATCAGGTGAATAATTTAATTCGATAAAAATTTTAATGAATATGTTATATATAGGACTCATTTGGTTTAAAAAAAGAAAACCATATGCAGGATTGCTGGTTGACGTTAAAAAAAGGAAGTAAATTTTCATGGAAAATACAGACGTCTGTCAAATCAGTGCAAAGGATTCAGTTTATCTTCTCAACTTGTTAAGGCGGCTTATTTTATTACGTACGTATACCAGATGTTGTCTTTATTTAATGATCAACGACATGTCGCATGTCCTATCCGACCTTTACCAATATAATCATAAATCCTTTCGTTCTTACATTTTCAATTGAGATAGTTATACGTTTATTTATTATAACACCATCAGCGTCACTGAAACTTAAGCGTTATATTATAAACACATGTCTTTTTTACTAAATGACTATAGAAAAAGACAGGTATAGAGATAGTTTTAGAACTTAATTTCTCATTAATAATTAACAATGATTCGCTTACTGTGAAACAAAATCTTATACACGTATGTGGGATCGTCGAAGAAAAAATGGTCGAATTAAACACAAAATCTTTAATAAAACTGCTTAGCCTCTTTACAACGTTTTTCCTCGTAACCACAGACTACATACCCCCTTGTCATGCCATGACTTAAAAACTAACATAAACACAGACTAAAAATATATTTTCTCCCACACGGCCGTCCTGATCATTCATCTGACTTAGATGAATATTCATCTACTTCTTCATCGGCCCATGGCTTCATTAGATCAGCCGAGGTTGTTGTGTTGATATGCCCTTCGCATTCACCAACTTTCCTTACAGCCTACCTTTCATGATGCTTTTTGGCTGTCACTGCGTAAGGTCCTAGACACTTAGGATATAATTTACTTCGTTGAGTAAATTGTGTTCGTTTAGTAGCAACCAAGTCGTCAACTTTGTATTCGGTAGCCTTTTTTCTTTTTTTATTATACTTTTTAACGTTCTCTTCTTGGATCTTTTCTATTGACTCTTTTGCCTTTAATCTTAGTTCATTCCTTCTTCTTCTTCTATTAATTTCATAATTTCTTCATCCTCATCTTTCATTTTGGTTCCAAAAAGTAACTCGAATGGAGTCACTCCAATACTTCTTTGCCATGTACTATTCAGACAGCGTTGCACTTTGGAAACTTGTTTATACCACTTCGTCGAATCATCGGCGCTTAATTTACTTATAACACTTATTATGATTTGGTGGATTCTTTCTCCTTGCCCGTTTCCGCGGGGTTGTCCTGCAGTAATTGTATAAAGAGTTATGCCTTCTTGTTCACAATAGTCTTGAAAGTCTTTTGAAGTAAATGCGGCGTTACGATCGGAAATAATCCTTTGAGGGGAACCAAAGGTTTGTTGTTGCACTCTCAGTTTGTCCAACGTTTCATCTGTGGACAAAAATTTTGTAGGAGTCAAGTAAATTTGGTAAAGCCATCAACTACCGTAAAATGTACTTATAATTTTTATTAGTAGACATCAATGGACCAAGATGATCAATATGATACGTCGACAACGGGACATTACCTTTGTCTAATGGATGTAAGAATCCTTCTTTCTTTCCTTTTTTCTGTTCAATCAGAATACATTCTACACAATTATCTATAACTTTTCTAATCTTCTCCTTCAGATTCTCAACATAATACTCTCGACTCACAAGCTCTTCTGTTTTTCTAACTCCAAAATGTCCATAATCATGCTTCTTCCTTATTACTTCGTTCTGCATTTTCTTTGGAACTACAATAAGTCTCGTACCATCTTTCTCTTTGCATAATATTCCTCTTTCCATAATATAGCCTTAATAGGGTTCTTTTTGTAACATTTTCTTTAACAGACTGATATGAGGGTCGTCGTATTGAGCTCTCTTCAAGCGGGCAGCAGCTTCGGTAAGTATCAAGCAGACAGGGTTTCGGCTTAGTGCGTCAGTATGTTTAAGTCTTGATCCTGACCTGTGTTCTATCTCGTAATTATACTCTTCTAGGAGCAGAGCCCATTGAGCAGCACGTGGAGGTAAGTCTTTCTTCTGTAATGTTTTAGTAAGAGCAGAGCAATCTGTTATGATTTTAAAACGAATTCCTAGTAGATAGACACAGGGAATTTTTTGACAGCTTCAACAATCGCCAGTATTTCCAAGTAATAGCTGTGATACTTTCTTTCAGCAGGTGACGTTTTTTTGCTCATGTAGTAGACTTTTCTGTAACAGAACGGCGCCATAGCCTTCTGCGCTAGCATCTGTGTGTAGTTCTGTTGCTAGCTCTGGATGGTAAATCCGTAACACAGGTGAACTACACAATATTCTTTTCAATTCATTGAAAGCCATTTCGCACTCCTCATCAAAATTGAATTCAACGTCTTTCTTCAATAAATTGGTAAGTGGTTTTGCAATTATAGAATAATTTTTGATGAACTTCCTAAAATAACCAGACATTCCTAAAAAAGACTGTAAAGGCTTGATGTTATGAAGGGTTTTAAATTTTGATACGGCTGAAATCTTTTCTTTTGATGGGCGTAATTCATTATTCCGTATTATATAGCTTAAATATTCTATCTTCCTCTTCATGAAGTGGCATTTCTTCCAGTTAAATAAAAGACCGTACTCTTCAGCTCTATGGAACACTTTTACCAGCTTCTCCAATCCTTCTTCTTCTGACTCCGAGGGTAAAATCAAATCATCCAAGTAGGCAAGGACAGTACCGTCAGAAATAAGATCTTGAAAGACATGGTTGACATATCTTTGGAATACTGACAGCGCCGTACAAAGACCGAACGGCATTTTCATGAATTCATACTGCCCTTGCGGAATTACAAAGGCCGTAAACTTCCTTCTTTCTTCATGCACATTCACATGCATAAATCCGTTTTTCAAATCTAAAGACATGAAAACTTTTGCACCCTTCAATCTGTCAATCTGATCTTCTATAAGAGGTAACGGGAATCGGTCTTTCACTATTCTTTTATTCAACTTTCTATAATCTATACAAAGTCTGTATGGTCCATCTTTCCTTTTAGCTAGAACTACAGGGCTTGCAAAATCTGATTTGCTGGGTCATATAATCTTTTGGTCTAGCCATTCTTTTATTTGTTCATTAACAACTTTCATTTCCAGTGGTGACAATCGACGTGGACTTTGATAAATCGGGTCTTCTTCGGTAAGTATTATTTTCATCTCAACGTTGCTTTCCTTCTTTTTAGCATCAGTTTTATATTCTTCAATTAGTTTTGTAATCTTATCTGCAATTTCTTTATTTTCAGGGTAATCTTCATCACCAATAGTGTTCTTCTCTTCTGCCAGTAGTGTAAGGTAAGAAATTTTTTCAAAGAAAATACAGTGTCAATTAATGCTGTAATTTCGACATAATTTATCTTTATCTTCGTATATGGAGTTTCTAATCCTTTGTCTTCTTTATCAGTCTTAGTTTTTGTTTCGGTCTTTTGAATATTTAAAGTCTTTTTACGTTTGTTACTACACTGAGTTCCCTTATGCCCAAATTCATTGCATCGGAAGCACTTAATACCCTTCATGCAGGTCGGGGCTTGATGATCTAGGTCCCCGCAATTAAAACATCGCATTATTTTATTATTCTTTGCAAATGGAGTAGATACACTGGGTCGAGTCTGGGTCTTTTTTTAATACTTTTGTAAATATCTAATATCTTTCTAAATTCTTTAAGGTTTGACACTCCGTACAAAATAGATTTATTAGATTCGCTGTCTTGGATACCATCAATAACGTACTCTATAAGTGCTGCATCTTCGATGTTTCCATGTAGTGCACATTCTTTCATATGGAGAAAATACTGCGGGTAAGTTTCATCTTTCTTCATTTTTCTTGAGCTTAGTTTTTTATGTATGGCAGCACTATTCAATTTAGATCCGAATTCATCTTCGAGTTCTTGTTATAAACTTTTACACCTCCGAGCGATCGTAGAAATAGTTTTGCAGTTCCACTTAGGAGTCTTTTCGCGTAAATCAGTTTTTCTACTTCAGTCCAGCTTATCAACAGTGCCGTGTGTTCAAATTCTTCAAACCATGTTGAAATCGGGTAAGAATCATCACCACTAAATGACGTCATCGACTTTCTCCACATCTGCAAACGAGATATAGGATGTGGTGTCACGTGATTCTCGTTCTTCTCCATCTTTAATATCTTTTTTCGGCAACATCTTGAAATGTTATTCTTCAAATATAAAAATCTTCACAAGTCTTCAATAATCGTAAAATCTTCTTTAAATCATTATTTTTGTAACAATAATCTTCAATCGTAAAATCCGTAAATCGTAAATCCAGTCCTGAAACTAATCTTTATCTTCTTTACATTTCGTAAAAAATAAAAAATATATTGACGTCACGAACAACGTCCCGCAGCATTCCGCTCACACGTAGTCGGTAATGCAGTGCGATGGTAGCAACGTCCCGAAGCATTCGATGCAACTCGTATTCAAAACTTCCCGCGCGCCATCTTGGTTCGTGTCAGTAAAACAGTTCACTTCTCACAATGACTCGCCGGTATTTTGCTGAGGATTTCTTCGTAAATGTTGTTAATTCTTCCACACTGATACTTCTCTGGATCCCGGACGAGCCCCCAAAATAGTTGTGGGATCGTCGAAGAAAAAAATGGTCGAATTAAACACAAAATATTTAATAAAACTGCTTAGCCTCTTAACAACGTTTATCCTCGTAACCACAGACTACCTATGCCCTTGTCATGCCATGACTTAAAAACTGACATAAACACAGATTAAAAATAAATTTTCTCCCACACGTATATTAAGCGTACAGTACAGAGATAATTATTAATACTCTTATTGTTATTAATATAAATCTAAATATTTAACGTATTTTGCATATAGCTCAATTATTGTAATATATTGTTGAATATTATTCTGGTAATACTTAAGAGGTACCTGCATTAGTATTTCCTTTTAAGACTTCTAAATATCGTATAAACCGTATAAAAGTAACAACGATACTTTAGCTCATCGTCATTATTAATGACACATTACACATTCGCAGCAAGGATAAAGCGCTGAATTTATAATAATTAATTATACGTAAATAGGGTAAGCGCTCGATGTAAATTTCAGAGTACGTGAGCAACCTGAGCTTGCCACCACTTAAATTGTTAATTGCAATTTTAAGTACTGGTTCAACACGGGTTCGGCGGCAAAGGAAAACATCGTGAATCGTAAGAAAGCTTCCTGAATAATAATATATTTAAAGGACATATGGAGTCTGCCAATATGCATCAGAGTATAACGGCGGGCTCACAGCTCTATAACACGCTGAGTCCGATTGTGGGATATATATAGGTTGTATCTATACTTTTTACGTAACACGTGACTTTTATCAAGGTATTCCACCTTGCCAGCCCATCTGTGGGACGTATATAGGCTGTAACTTAACTTTTGTGTTTTATTCCAGTCTTCTTCCCACACTCTGTCATATTATATAATCATAAATGGGACTTAATAATAAATTGTGCGTGGAAAGTGAATCTATAAAGGCATTTATTTGCTAGGTATGAGTAGCCACGCAAATGACGTCATCGCAGAAAGACATGTAGCAAGATAAGTTTTTATAGATCCGTGTAGTTACATACTAGTATGTTTAGTACGTCTAGTAGTTTTAATAGATTTTTTAAATTATTGTTGAAATTAGCCTTTGAATTAAAGTATAGCTTAGATTAGTATAACGAGTATACATAGTTGCAGCACAAATGTGCTGGCTCGACCGGGGTAGGACCACTTCCTTACAGAATACCAACGTTAAAAAAAACAGAATAATATTGCTGTGCTTCATATGGTGAGTGTAGAGATCCGGAGACACTTTTTATTTAAAACTTTCATTCCATCGTAGTCCTCAGTAGTAGCAACGCATCTGTTATTTGATTCTGAACATAATGCGTAGTGACTTAACAATGAATTGCGGTGCTGAGTTCAGCAGGTTAGAATCCCACACGGCACAAGTATCTATTTATATAGCTTACAAATAGTTGTTTCGAGTCTGGATGTTTGTCCTTGTGAAAATTATGTATGTAAATTGCCTCCATGATACAGAAGAAAATCCTAGAGTGGAGGTAAGGTTTTTGTTGTTTTATTTTTATAAAATAAGGTGACAAACGAGCACACAGTCAACCTGATGTTAAGTGGAAGCTGCGGCCCGTAGACATCTGCATTTCGATTAAGAATCAAAATGCGCATGCCCCTTGCTTGACACCCCTGAGGACTAAGATGGAATACCTCGTTTCCAGTAAAAAGGATCTCCGGTTCTCTACACTCACCATGAGAAACCACGTAGCATTAAGCTGCTATTTTACGCTGATTTTCTGTAAGATCCTAAGAAGAAAAGTCGAGCTGGCTCATTCATGCTACAGCCATAACATAGCTGCAGTATGGCTCTACCACGTATAAAAACGTGTTCTCGTTTGTCAACAATATGTTATAAAAAATGTACGTTAATAATAATTCAACCGGACATTTTATCGAGCAGCAAAGATTAGGGTATATATTTATACTTTTTAGACGATATATATATATATATATATATATATATATATATATTCTATAGTCTATTGACGTAAGCGGCAATGGACTTACATTAGAGAGACGTAAAGTAACGGAGCGAGACGTCTGGTAGCAATCAATCTGCCTACCGAGCGAGATCATTGGAGTAAATCCTTCTCTAAACCCAAGTACAAGATAGAATCTAGTGATCTGTTTACAGGCTGGTGATTGTAATGAGGTTGATAACGAAAATTTTCCATAAGAAATTTGTATCATATTAATCTTA